TTTTTTTTTTTTTTTTTTTAAATTACATGGAAAACGCAGATTCGAAAGAAAGATAACGTTGCAAGCTGTTGTATCAGTCAGTAGATGATCAAAGAAATATATGTCATACGCTTTAAATAAGTTCAGATCCGTTGATTTTACTGTTATCACGGCCTGCTTGACATCATCAATGCTTCCGGGACATCACACCCATCATCAGTCAGGTTTTCATCCCACGTCTTTCACCATGTTCCCGAAGAACTGATTTATGTTTGAATAAAGAACAAAACTAACCTAAAGATTCAAAAATCCAGTTATCGATTGCTTCTGTATTACTGTCAGTGAGAATCAATTCATTATCCGGAGCAGGATTCGCTTCCACCACGTTTTCCAGCTGCACACCACCGGTTGTGCTTTCTATTTGCGCAGATGACAGTGCTACACTAGTTTCCATCATCTCCGTAATGGCGCCCTCACGATTTCGCGCGAAATCACCACTAATACGATACGCCGTCAGGCCACCATTGATGTACGTTACGTCCGGAAATTCTGGGCAGCCGCAGGAATCTTCGCCCGAACAGTCGCCAGGACACGGTTCATCTGAAGAAACATTTAACGCTATTATGCGACTCACAGAGAAACAGGAAAATTTTTGAAAAGCAAAACCAAAAATAAAACTACACTGGAATGAGGGGACATTACTGGGCCATGGTCAAAAAATGCACAAAGCAACACAAAAATAATTAAAATGATGTAAAAGCTCAACACTATTTACCCGGACTGTTCCTCGATTCTTCAGTTCCTCTCCTCTGCCCTCTTCCCCACCCTCTAAATTCCGAAGACACAGACTCTTGGTTCAGTGCGTTTATTTCGAGCACCCCTGATACAAATTTCATTGAAATTTCAAGTCTGACCCCACCTGGACTGATAATTCAGGAGTTAGTGAGAACTCAGCATTACTCGAGTGCTTTTCCAAACGCCTGAAAGGAGGTTTCGTCGACAGCGGCGAGGATACTCTATCACGACCCTAAAAGTTAATATTCTAGACTAGTAGCATGCCCTGTGTGTAAATGTGTGTGTGGAAAAAACCTAGTCATATACACATAAGTACGTAAAATAATAAAAGGCAATACGAAAAAAGATGGTGAGGTTCTAGGAAGCCGAAGCTCCCCAGAAGAGGGATAAGAAGAGAGTAGCTTTTTGTGTAGCTTGAACTAGTTGTGGATTCCCGGGGATGAGGAGGAGTGCTTTTATACCCTAAGGGTCAGAACTTACTAAGATAGCAAAACTTTAACGAGGGAAGGGTGTCCAAAGTTTGAACCAGGGACCGAGGAATTGCATCGTTGCATCGTAGTGACGTAATTGTTCTATACGCCATTTCTAACAAAAAATCATAAATTAATATTTGATATATTATGTGACGCCCCCCTCCCTCAGGACCCGAGTACAAAGCGTTGAGGAACGTCAGTGAGCAAAAAAGAAAAAAAAAACAATGTTTAATCTAAAGCAGCATTCAACAAAAAGTGAAAGCACGATGGAGGGTCCTCAAGTCCTGAATGTGGCGAAGTGGCTTGCTTACCTCGGATACCGTTCGAATTTCGGGATATCACTGAGAATCCTTCCGATCCATGTCCACATCCTCCGACACAATCGCCTCGAGCGCCACCGCTACGGTGATCCTTGAACTTGCCACTCAGATCACTTCTTCCGTACTGCGACGCGTACTGCTCCAAATGGGCGCTTGACCGCTTAGCCACTGCTCGGCGCTCTACAGCTCGGCTCCTGGAAGCCCAGTCATCTTCGTCACCGATGATTTCGCCTTCCTCGATGTCACTGTCAAATGCCATCCTTAAAATTATCCAACAGAGCGAGA